CCCATTTGTCTTTCTCATACAGAGCTTCTAACTCCTCCCATGTCAAGGCATACTGCTGACTGAGCCACTCAGTTTCTGAAATTATTTCACTGGGGTCTGTGACTTCGATACATGATAACTTTTGCTTTGTTTGCTGCCATAGCCCATGTAAAATGTTCTCTGTTTCTATAATTTTGTTAGTAAGAGCTTTGGCTGAGAGAGTTCTCTGCCGTTGAGGGCGCTGTGTGATATCACATTCAAATCTCTCATCTTCCTTATCTTCTAGAGGTTCAGATTTTGTATTACTTGCCATATTTTCTATTTCACTTACGTGCTGTAGTCCTGATAATCAGTGCGGATGTGTGCGTTCAACAACACTGCTGATCACGGGATTGGTTTCTCTCCGTAGTGTGGACTAATTTTCACTGCAGATACAGACTTCGAATATTCACTGTTCCGGGGTCTAGGTGCTTTTATACCCGTACTTGTGATCAACCACTTCGAAAAACAACCACCCACAAGTGCTTCAGGGGATAATCATTTATTCCAAGCGGTGAATACTACAAACAGAAAATGACAGTTTGTCAACAACAAATGTAGCGTACAATGTACTACGACGGAATCACTTGTGAAACGATATTTCGAAAAATACATCAAAGATTCACAATTATCACTCAGAATCTCTTAAAACATAGACTCTAAAAGATTAAACAGTTACAATGAAATTAACCTACTTCGTTGAGTCTATAAGGTTCTCTCACAGGCGTACTGAACGTCGAAAACCCGAAAAGTCAATCGCTGGTGTGGTCAACTTACTCAACAGCCCATAATAGTCTCCAAGATGTCAATAAAAACGAAAGTACCATAGAGGGCGTCAACACGTAGCTCTATCTACGGGGGATACGAGCGGCACATACAGAATTATGATTAATAATCATCAATTAATTTTGGTTTAATATTGCCCACATACTTAAGCACTGCTCTGAACACCCTGCCAATATTTAAACATTGTTCTGAACCCTGTTCAATGCTTAACTACCACTTTGAGCACTTGTTCGATGCTAAACTACCACTCTGAACACCTGTTCAATGCTGAACTACCACTTTGAACACCTGTTCAATGCTAAACTACTACTCTGAACACTTGTTGATGCTAAACTACCACTATGAACACTTGTTCAATGCTGAACTACCACTCTGAACACCTGTTCAATGCTAAACTACTACTCTGAACAACTGATCGATGCTATACTACCACTCTGAACACCTGTTCAATGCTAACATGACACTCTGAACACCTGTTCAATGCTAACATGACACTCTGAACACCTGTTCAATGCTAACATGACACTCTGAACACCTGTTCAATGCTAACATGACACTCTGAACACCTGTTCAATGCTAAACTATAATTTTTGTTTGCAGAGATAATCATGCTGAGTTGTTCAATGTTGATAGCTTGACCAAAGATACGTATGAAACCTTAATTAATGGTTTGCTACGTAAGGGCATAGCACTGGATACAACAAATGCAAAACTCTGTTTAGATGGCAAAGGTTTAGGTTTCCAACTGCCTAAAGGCAAAGGGTGAGTATTAATTATAAAGTTATATTTTTGATTATGGGTTGTATTACAATGCTGTAACTTCAAAATTAGGAACCTTGTAATTGGATTGCAATTTTGTTATACCATTATACTATGAGAAATCATGTTGCATTTATACTATGAGAAATCATGTTGCATTTATACTATGAGAAATCATGTTGCATTTATATCATGAGAAATCATATTGCATTTATACTATAAGGAATCATGTTGCATTTATACTATGATAAATCATGTTGCATTTATATCATGATAAATCATGTTGCATTTATACTACCGGTATAAGGAATCATGTTGCATTTATACTATGAGAAATCATGTTGCATTTATACCATGAGAAATCATATTGCATTTATACTATAAGGAATCATGTTGCATTTATACCATGAGAAATCATATTGCATTTATACTATAAGGAATCATGTTGCATTTATACCATGAGAAATCATATTGCATTTATACTATAAGGAATCATGTTGCATTTATACTATGATAAATCATGTTGCATTTATATCATGATAAATCATGTTGCATTTATACTACCGGTATAAGGAATCATGTTGCATTTATACTATGAGAAATCATGTTGCATTTATACTATGAGAAATCATGTTGCATTTATACCATGAGAAATCATGTTGCATTTATACCATGAGAAATCATATTGCATTTATACTATAAGGAATCATGTTGCATTTATACTATGATAAATCATGTTGCATTTATATCATGATAAATCATGTTGCATTTATACTACCGGTATAAGGAATCATGTTGCATTTATATCATGATAAATCATGTTGCATTTATACTATGATAACTCATGTTGCATTTATACTATGATAAATCATGTTGCATTTATACTATGATAAATCATGTTGCATTTATACCATGAAAAATCATGTTGCATTTATACTATGATAAATCATGTTGCATTTATATCATGATAAATCATGTTGCATTTATACTATGATAACTCATGTTGCATTTATACTATGAGAAATAATGAGATGTATTTAGAAAAGAAATTTATACTCATTTGCAACGTTGTTCATATTTTTGTTTATTCATTAATTCTACCTAGATTATGTTGAGAAGTAGTATTACCACATGTTATATTATGAGTATATATCTTTTTTTTACATTTTCCAGGGATCTCTACACTATTTTTTATGAACAGACAGACGAGTCTGATCAAGAGTTATTAAAGAAGTTGTGTAAATGTTTTGGTCTATTTGCAATGGATGATTACACAGTCAGAGGATTGCATAAAGGAATGCTTAGGTACGTCCCGTCTGAACATATTATCCTATTTGCTATTATACGTCTTGTTTGAATCAAAACCCATTGTGAGACTGGTTTTTGTGAATCATATATCGCCGAGACCACTTCTCATGATTTGATATATTGAGACCCATACAAGGGAACGTCATGCACCTGGTAACGAACAGTAGGAACGCAGCTTTCAAATATTAAACAATGCACAGTTTTATAACATCTGTCCAATAAGCTTTGTGTTTTTTTTTCATCTGCAGGTTTTTCTACAAAGACAACAATTATATGTTAATTGGCTCGTCATCTCCATATATGGCTGAAAAACCACCTTACATTGATGTTGTCAGTAAAAAGCTTTTAAAATCTTAACACTCATTGTTATTTATTTTATTTTTTTTAATTTATTATATTCAGAACTAATTTTTATTTTTCAAATACTTATTTAATGAAATTTAAACATGGGCAATAGTTCTTAATTGTTTGGTGTTTCTTTTATTCAAAATTAATTATTAATTAAATTATTACTTACATTAGGGTGACAGAAGTGTTGCTGCAATGTTTTTTTTTTTAGGTTGCATGTGGAGGTGATTGGACATAACCATTCCTGTTCTAGTACTAGAGTTTGTACTATTTTAATTCAGAAGCCTGAATTTCAGCCTAGCTAGTTGCCATTAGTAAATATTCATTAATATTAGCATTTATGTACACAAGTGAACATTTATAAATCGACTTTGTACTCAAAACATTCTGAGTACCTTTCAGATCAATAAATAACATATAGAGTAATTGTCATAACAAATGAAAATTACTACTAATACGGTAATCTGATATTGTGGGATCTCCTCTACGTGTAAACCTAAAACAGGTTGAGTAGAATTTTGCTCAATTTTTTTAAAAAATAAATAGCAATTTAGTTTTCAACTAGAATTACTAGGCTGGATTAGTGTCATAGTACAACAATACCCCCCCCCCCAATGAAACTACCAGGATGTATGACCTTTGACCCGTTTCGTTTGTTTTTTGAATTATAAATTCCAAAGTTCAACCACCCCTGCACTCAACATTAAAACAATTCATATTCCCATTTAATTGTATGATTTTATAAATTAATTAATTGGTATATTTATGTGAATATTTAATTTTTTTTTATAAACTGTCTTAAAAATTAACTATGCAAATATACATCTTCCATAAATGTTTCTAAACTAGTTTATTAATTATCACGTTATTTATTGTTGTAATTGGGGTCATATTAAATTCTGTGTGCGGACAAAGATGAAGTCCATTGAGATCCAATAATTCTTTCAAGAAAATTAATTAAAGTCATGTACCGCATTTGTTCTATTGGAAGCACATGTGCTACATAAGAGAAGTAAATCTGTGATAAAATTAAGTCCGACTTTAATGATGCAATTTTTTGGATAATGTGCAATTATATTAAAAATGCAATTCTAATTGTACACATGCCTATATTTACAAATATTCCTTGTGGGAAATACAGATAGCATTTTATAAATACTGCTACATTTATATTATAAATAGATGAACCTGATTGATGTCTTGAAAAGTATGATATAGTAAATTTTGTAAATATTTTTTTTGCTAATTAACATTAGACTTTGACCTTGTTTGCATGTTTTTCACATTCAGTATAATACCAGATTTTCTCGGATTATTCATTTTATGTTTTATCATGTTCTGAAATGGACAAAATATATTCTACATTTTTGTTGAATAAATCATGTATTTTTTTTGATATTGCAAACATATAATAAGCATGATTACAATGTTGAAATATGTAGAACTAAAACAAAATATTACTCAACAACATTTTTCAAACTTTTGTTTGAATAGGCAACTGGCTATCATAATTGTATAAACATCTCAGTTTCCAGAGCTTAAATTATTCAGTTATAATTTGAGGGAAAAAAAAGCTTTTGGGATTTAACTAATAGATTAAATAGATTAAAAGGCAGTAGTCGTTGCGCTGCACATGTGCGACATTAAAAACATTAATTTTCCCATAATCCAATGCGCTTTTCTAATTAAATCACAAGTACAAGTTTTGCCTGGTGGCAACCTTGCACTAGTTACCGCCTACTTCAATACTTTCCAAACACTAAAAAAATACCTAATAAAAGCTTGGTCACCTCTCAGTGTGTACTAGTTGGTGTGTGCAGAAGTCAAGGTTGCCATCTTTGTTTATACAAGACCCATATCTCGTGCATGCGTGGCGCGACGACTACCGCCCGTGATAACGTTCTGAAATCTTTTTTTTTTTTTCAATAGATTCACTTTGAGTTATAGCACTTTCTCAATATTTTATTAATGATTTTTTAAGTGAAACTGTGGAACATTGATTTTATGCAATTGTGGTACAACATGTAATGGTCAGAATCACTATACAACTGTGTAAAGAGGTTTGAAACCAGATGTTGAAATTATATCAATATTTGGTTATAAATCACTGATTTGGTTGAGATTATATTTTTATAAAAATAATTTTACAATACAGGTGTTGTGTCTAGCTCTGAGCTTTGACTAACATCACAGCTTTACACACATTATTTAATTTCTAAGAAAATCAATTAGAATTTGTTTTATGTAGTCAGTTTTCATCTGATGTAGGTAAACAACAGTGAATTTTAAAGAACCCAATAAATATATACTAACTTTGGTGTTTGGGGTCAGTACATACATAATTGCATGCGGGCAAGTAAGGTTTCTCAGGAAAATTTGTTTGAATAAAGGTTTAAAAGAATTAACTACCAGTAGAATTTATTATTGAGTTTCTTCTCTCTTATAAATGTTTTTCCTTGCGTTTCTGTAAAAAGTGCATATAATATATGCAAAAAATATGTATTTTATATTGTGGTTTGCGCCCTCTATAGTTGAGATAATTTTTTTATTTTTGACGCGGAGGACGTTATTACGAAACTCGTGTATCATACTGAACTGTACTGTATTCGTAAACTTCAAAAATTGGGTTGCTGGACTGAAAGAAGTTTAACTTGAATAGTGTTATGCGTCATTTTTATCAGTGTCGCCATCTTGAATCAGCTAAACTTGTGCGGACCTTTTTCGTATAAATATGGCTATATAACGAAATGCATGGTTACTGATGTATTAAAATGAGAACTATTAACAGCTGTCTGATGTATTATGCAGCACTACATAGTCCCATGATTTGTTTTTAAAAAAAACACTTGTGTGGCTCAAACTACCTGGTACTGTAAAATACATTTCGCTTGGAATTAAAGCGGGTCGTCACCTGCGCACGCGCGCAATTGAGTCCCAAGCGATGATAACATACGCTAAAAACGCAAAGGCTCGTGGTTAGACGCTTGTTTGTAAACATTGACACGCTATGGCCACCTGACGCATGCGCAGGTGACGACACCCGCTTTAATCTTTGCTGAAGGAATGATTCTGTGATGGTGTGATGTACACTATATGCTACAACCTGTTGATAAGCGACAATATAACGTAGAACCAGAACTTGTTTGCACACTATCTGAAAATACTACGCAATGTGTCGTGCAAAAATGATATCAGGCACTCACCAACCACAGTACGATGTTTTATTATTAGACTACAACAAATCGCACAGAATCAGCGACTACATACAAGAAGCCATTTTGTATCGCGTCAATACGACCAACCCATTTTGATCATAGGGATGTCAGTTACAGTCACTTCAAATCGTTGCCATAAGCATAACAAAAAACGCATTTTTTCGAGAATATACTTATTAATAATTGAAATTCCCACAACTCAAAAATTACAAATCAGATACTTTACTGCATATGCTTCTCCCAAGATTAGCTTAAAGCGCG